ACTTACACTAAGATCTTCATAGATAGCCTCTGCTATTGTGATCCTCATGTTCCAGGAACCAGTGTGAAGATAAGAACCAGCAGCTACAATAGATGAGAACCCTACCCCAGCACAGTACTTAGATTTGGAGAAAAACAGTTTACAAACCAGGTTCTACAAATTAGTGGAAGCTGGCAAAATGGACATAATTGTATTGCTTCATCTCATAAATGTGGTAAGAAGGCAAATACAGTAATATCTGTGAAGGACTCAGAGATTAGCCTGACAGAACTAGAGACATGATCATGAGAGAAAAGCAGAATTCTACAGTTCGATAATGTGCATTAAATAGGGCTCGCTCCTACACTGTAGTGAAGTGCAATAACAAGAACCCCAAATAACCAGTCCCTCAGCTGGGAGGGTGCCTTCTGCAAACTGAACCAAACATTGTGACAGGGTACTGAGCACCACAACGTTTGTGAGGAGAGGTTGACATGAATGGCAGATTGCACCGATATGTCCTTGCGTCATTCTTCTGTGAGTAGTGCAGAATATCTTAAGAATATATAGGTCTCCAAGTTTGCTTCCATCTCTGTTACCAAGTCTTACTCCTCCAAGGCTCTGTGGAGTGCCCTAAAGCTGTAAGGAGGTACTGTGACACCTGAACAGCTAATGGCAACTTCCATAAGCCACAGATAGAAACTGTTTTACTTTTATGTATTTTCCTACCCCTCAAAACACAGTTTTGGAACACCTGAATGGGAATGAGGATGTAGGGGAAGAGGAGGACAGGCTTTGCAGTCTTACTTCTGTGCCATGATAGGTATCACATGCAGTTTTCACGGGCATGAGCAGAGTACAGTCTTCATAGTGCCATAACAAATCTGTTCCAACTTCTGGGACCACCACCTGGACTGGTCTTTAGACCTACCTTAGATCTATTTCTCTTCAGCAATGGAAGCTGACAGCATTATCAGGCTTACCTGCTAAAAAATCACCTCGGCTCCAAAGAACAGCAAAACAAAAATATTTGACTTGATGTTTTTCCAAAATAAATGGTTTCTCATCACCAAAAACCCTGAAATCTTCATTCAAGTTACCTGCAAGCTTTGTCAATGCACAGGTGGCTGTCTACCCTGAACTTGTTTTCTAAGGCTTTTTATATCATTAAAGAAAGCTCCCTACATAAGGGGATTCATTCCAGCCTAAGGTGGCGTAACTTAAAACAGTTTGCCACCCTCTGCAAGTACCTACTTCTGTTCCTTGACTAGCAAGGGAGCCCTTAGATTAGCTAGCCAACCACCAGCTAAGGATGGGAGACATTATCCCTGCATCCTACACCTTCCAGTTGGAAGGAGTTGGGAAAAAATTCCCTACTAACAGACATTGCAAAAGCCTGCTTTGTGCTCCTCCTTGTGCTCAGCCAAAGTTGCTACATGCCTGTCCCTGTAAACTTGAAGACAGTCAGCAAAACATCTGATGAGGGCTGTTGTGGGTGAGGGTGCTCGAGAGGAGTCCACAGCATAAGTCTTATTAAGACGTTAATTTAATTCTTCTTTTAGCACAAAAGATCTACTTCATTCAATTTCATAATAAAAAATGGCTGAAGCACACTGGAGCAATAGGAAAGCAACTCCCTCAGTATGCACCTTCCCTCATGCTGTCCTGCTTTGCCTGAAATTCTTGAACAGGCTTTGACACAGGGACTGAAGTCAGCATTTCTCCTTCCATGGAAAGCCTAGAAAATGAGATGAACTACAAGGCCATCTCTTATCTTTGCTATAGTCTTACTGGCATATAGCTGAAGACCAGTCATTTCTGTTCAGGTAAGCTGGTTGGTAACATCACCAATATTTTAGCCATTAGAGATCTGTCTTCAGCATCTCTTTCCCTCCACAGGAAAAGATATTTCTTCAAGAAAAAAGGAAAATTACTTCAGTGCCTTTAAGTGTATTGTCAAAGTCTAACTTCAGCATGCATTTAACATTGTATCATTGTCACAAAAATTTAGTTCTCTCTTACATTCAGCAACTGATGGAGTAATATAAGCACATCATGGTTTGATCCCCCTGCTTTAGTTCTCTCAGTGGTACTGTTGTGGCAGATTGTAGAAAGCTCCAGATGAAGCAGGACAATTTTCTTGCAGAAGTTCTTAATGGTTTTTGATTCTTCCCTTTCATCAAGCAGTACTTCCCTATTTATAAGAATTTCAATGGATTAACATGCTGAAGTTTATGTACTCTTTTCTTACTATTCATTCTGATTTTTTTATGGAGATGGAGAACCTAATTTTTCATGACAATCTTCTCCTGGCAATGTCTCTGACTTTGGGAGAATTTTCTCCCACTGTTTCCTCTGCTTCTATGTTCTAGGCAGTTACATGAATTAGTTAAAGCCCATTAAGCCCATACAGAAAAGATACTATGAGTAAAATAATGGAAATTAAGTCTGAGAGATCCTCTACTCTTTTTGCAGGCACTTCTCACTGGCCATGCTTTCTAGACCAGTAAACATAATTTCTTTCCCCTGGGTTTCTTCAGAGTCTCAACATGGCTGAAAAAGACATTTTCAGGGGATTCTTTTGTAACAGGTTCTATTCTTTATAAGATGATAATAATTTGGCTACAGCACAAAATGTAGTCACAGGTGCTTAAAATTAAGTGCTTGATATTAAATGTTGCCTTTCTTTTGAATGTGTCTTCTTTTTTTCTCCTGTATTTTAATCTTGCTCAAACTTTTCAAAGCTTCAGATTATTTGCATTACCATTTTGGAAAGAGACCATTCCCAGTTTTTAAAGGTTGGAGCAACTGGGGCTCAGGCAGCCTGAAAACATTGTCCACTTGTCTTCAGCCTAAGCCCCCAGATTGGAGCCACAAAGAATTAAAAATCTTTCCAAACAATATGTGAAAAGCTATGCTTTTGTCCTCAAGTTAGAATATGCTGGTCGGTCAGGAGTGACTCATTCACCACCACAAGCATCCACCAAACCCATTATGCCAAACTCAAAACTGCTGTTTGAGAGGGACATGTTATAGAATGGAAATGTATCTTGGGTCTCCTTGTTATCCACTGTGTCACTGTAGGGAAGGCACTTTCTGTTCAGGCTTGAAAGTTTTCAATGGTTTCCTGTCTGTACTTAGAGCAAAATCTACACCGCTCCTTCCCTTATGCGATTCCAGCCATCACATCCCTCTTCTTATAGTCTTGCTTAAGCACTCTTTCTGAAGCAACTTTATGAGGCTCTTTCATACTCCCTGTAACACGTGTGATCAGGTTATATATCCCTGGGTTTATTGAAATAAAGTTTTTAGGAAATGAAAAAATCCAGCTAAAATTGCAACACAAGCCAGTCTTACAGCTTTTCAGGAATACTGTAGGAAAACACCCTGCAGTCTTAGAAAGAGTGGTCAAGAGCTGCTGCCAAAAAAGAGCAAATTTTAAATAAGTAGTCCTGCTACAACATTGAAAAATACTCCATAAGTCCTGTTTTATAATGATATATGGGACCCAGTGAGATGCATCCCAGAATCCTGAGGGAATGGTTGACAGCGGTTGCCAAGCCCCTCTCCATGACACCTGAAAAGGCATGGCGGTCAGGTTATGTCCCAGGTGACTGGGAGAAGGGAGACATTGTACCTATCTTTAAAAAGAGTAGGAAGGATGACCCTGGGAATTACTGACCTCTCAGCCTTACCTCTGTGCCTGGGTAGAACATGGAACAGATCCTCCTGGGAGCTGTGCTAGGGCATGTGGAGGGCAGAGAGGTGATTCAGGACAGCCAGCACGGCTTCACCAAGGGCAAGTCCTGCCTGACCAACCCAGTGGCCTCCTGCGATGGAGTGAGTGCAAGAGTGGGCAAGGGAAGAGCCATGGATGTTGTTTACCTGGACTTCTGCACAGCCCTCACAACATCCTTCTCTCTAAGTTGGAGAGAGATGGATTCAATGGGTGAATTGTTACATAGATTAGCAAGTGGTTGGACCGCCCTGTCTGGAGGGAAGTTGTCAATGTCTCGGACATTGACATAAGTGACAAGTGGTGTCCTCCTGAGGTCTGTACTGGGACCAAGTACTATTTAATATCTTTATTAACAAAGGGATTGAGTGGACCCTCAAAATTCACAAATGACACCAAGCTGAGTAGGGCTGCTGACACACCTGAAAGATGGTATGCCATCTGGGGGAGCTGGACAAGCTTGAGAAGAAGGTCCATGGGAACACTGTGAAGTTTAACAAGACCAAGTGCAAGATGCTGCACCTGGATTAGGGCAACCCTTGGTGTCAGCACAGGCTGGGTGATGAACAGATAGAGAACAGCCCTGGGGAGAAGGACTTTGGGGAGCCCATGGATGAGAGGCTGGACACAACCCAGCAATGTGCATCTGCAGCCCAGAAAGCCAAATGTGTCCTGGGCTGCATCCAAAGCTGCATGGCCAGCAGGGAAGGGATTCTTTTCCTCTGCTCTGGTGAGACCTCACCTGCAGTGCTGCATCCAGCTCTGGGATTCCCATATGGGAAGGGTATCAAACTGCTGGAGCAAGTCCAGAGGAGGCCACCAAGAGAACTAGAGGGATGGAGGACTTTTCCTGTGAGAAAAGTCTGAGGAAATTTGTTTGTTTAGCCTGAAGAAAGAGAAGACTTCAGGGTGATTTAATTGTGGCCTTCCAGTGTCTGAAGAGAGTTTCCAAGAAAGGAGAAGAACATTTTACAAAGGCATGGGGTGACAGGACAAGGTGCAATGGATTCAAACTGGAAGAGAGTAAATTGAGATTAGAAGTTTCCAGAGAAGGTAGAAATACTTACTTATCTGAGAATGGGATTTTATTGAACCAGCCAGTCTTAACCCTGTAGAGTAGCTCCAGCTGAAGCAGAACAAGTTGGTACCCATAAAGTCTTCCACCAGTTCTGACCTCATCCTGGCAACCAAGATTTTTCAGAGAAGAAACTTACCCCCCTTTTGCAATATGTCACAGGAAATGCTGTTTCCTATTTTCAGATACATGTACGCTCACAAAAAAGAAGAACCCACAGTTACACCAGCTTGATGAAACAGTAAGTAGCTGATTTTTTTTCCTTATTTTCACATCTAAATGTGTGTCTATTTAAGTGAAATTCACTAAGGAGGGAGTGTATGTGCCTAATGACAGTGGCAGTAGAGCTGACACTGAAGCAGAGATAATATCTTTGGGAACAATTTGGTCTTGTAACTAGCTTACAGCTTCAGATAAGCCTAAATGTGAAAGTAGAGAATTCAATTGGACAATTGATGTAGAATATGATAATCTGTTTTTGTACCAGAAACTTATTGGGTCTTGGTTTTGAAGCAGTTCCAGATTGATAGCTTGAAGTTGCATTCTACTAAGGATAAAATTTGGTCAGACATGAAATCCTTAATGTTTAACCTAAACACTCCATATCTAAGTCACATCTTGCTCTGTCAGATGCAGTTGGCAGGTGTTCTCCATCTCTATCCTATCACATGGTTTCTCTGTATTATTCAAACATTTAATCTGTTAAAATGTTATAAATGTTATTTCATTATCATGTTTCAAGGGGATGTTGGGACTGGGTCCTCTTTTTAATGTGATGTCTCTGAGTCACCACATTAGAAAATCTTTGCTCCATACCTCAGCTACATCTCAATGAGATATCACTTTTACACACAGATTGCAATTTTTGTTAATGAAGTTTTACATGAATAAAAATCATCAGTACTTCACTGGAATTTTTCTACTCACACACAATAAAAGGTGAGCTCCTCTGCTTGGATAAATGAGATTTGCCACTTGTATGTTAGCAAAAAAGCTACAATAGTCTACAAATTCCTTTTCATTTTTTTTTACATTCCTGGGAGAATCGCAGTGTCATTTGCCTGCAACAGCAGACAGCAACAGAAAAGGGGGCTTGAATCTCCCAGGGTAGAGACCCTTGGAGCAATAACAGGACATCATATCATCCTGTGGCATATGGTGGCAACCTCCATTCCAAGCTATTAACTTTCCATTTTGTACTTGACTCATCCTCAGAACGGTTGTGACTACAACTGCTGCTTGAACTACTCTGAATGCAATGTTTTATCAGATACTGAAAAAAAAAACCCAAACCAAATCAAAGCAAAAAACCCTTAACAGATGTACTAGCCCAGAAGTTAACTTACACAAGAGCCCATGTGTACATGTACTCATGATTTGGAGGAAGATACTTAACACATATCTCCAATTTCTCTTTCTCACAATGCTAATTTTCAGTGCTTATGATATTCCTTTACTTTGCTTAGGTAAGGACACATCCTACTTCTTTTGTCTTGAGGCCCATAAACTGACTCTATTTAACTGCAGAAAAGCTCAGAATTTTTGCCAGACTTTCTTTCTGGTTTTGTTGGGGAATGTAAACAATCAGGGCTCACAGAGAATTAAGCCTGCTCTTTTCAGCCCCAAATATATTTTACTTTCAAAGTTTTGCAGAGTTGAAAAAAAACCATAATTTAGGAGGCAAGTAATTCTGAATATTTCTAATGCTCAACTGTTAGAAAAGAGGAAGAGGTTTCCCAGGCAAGGTTTAATTTTGGAAGGGGCTCTTTACCCAGTCAAATCCTAGAAAGAAATCCTGTGGTCACTACCACATGAAAAGTTGTGTTTGAGGGAAACTATTAGTTCAGAGTCTTACACAGAGTATTTAGTTTACACTTCCATCCTTTCCTTCATCTTTCCTGGTAACTCAGGAAAAGTTCTTCCTTTTATGCTTTCTCTGCAATCAAGTGCAGGTGTTTGTGCACAGATTTCTCTGCAGTTTTGCTTCTCCTTGAAAGTCAAAGGCAGAGTTAAAGAGGTAGAGCTGTTAGTGGAAAACACTGGGTACCTCTCTTGCAGAGCCTGCTATCAGAATATGTGGTATTCTTTTTTTTGTTATTTAAGTTTCAGTATTACTCAGTGCTATGTTGCACTTCTTTCTCTTCATAGAGTATCCCAGATGCTGCTGACACATACTTTTATGCTGACTACAAATCATTAAGCAATTTTTTTTCTGTGTGCCAAATACTGGCATTTGTGAAAGAAGGACAGTGAGGGTGGGGGCAGTAGCGCTGTGTTACCCATTCATACATATTAAAAGAAAAATCTTGTCTTAAATTGAAAAAAGGTGAAGGGAACTTTGGGAAGGTCATTCAGTTTTGAGATAAGTAACACCATGCATGCACAGATGCTCTTGTGACTTGTAGTTATTACAAGTTCTGGTTTCTGAGGGGAAATTTTGTCCAAACCCCTCCACAGCAGACTCATTGGGCTGTGACAAATGTCATCCCTAAATAAGTCACTGCAGCAACTCAGGAGCTGCTTTGCTTGAATGACATGACAATATCATGTCTGATAGTCCTACCAGCACCTAGAAATCTTCTAGCTTAAAGTGACACTGTAGATAGCAGCAAATGCTCAAGAGCTAGTGAGGCTTCTCTCAAAGCAGCCAAAATACAGAAATCTGGGAAGGCATGTTTGAGGGCTATACCCTCATTACAAGAATCTCTGATGATACCACAAGCACAGCTTTGTTAAAATTTAGAGAAATGAAATTACATTTATTTGGTTTCACAAAGTTACAAGTATTCAGCAGACCAAATTTTCCCCCATCTAAGACGTAACTCAATGTTCTTTGCAAGAAATTTTTTCCAGGGTCCTGGTATTTGGCCCATTGCTTGGCCAAATCTCTCTGAATCTGGCTTCTTTGGCAACTCAGAACTAACCAGTCCTCCAAGGGGAAACAACAGTAACCTCTTATTGGACTGTTCATGTATTTAGATACTCTTACATTGTTAAACACAGGATAAATTAGTAAGTTCTCCTCTTACATGTCTACCTTAGGCTTGACATGTTGCCTACTTTTGCAAAGATCATTCAGAATTTCTGTTAGAACCCAAAACTACATACAGAAACAGTGGGATTGTGGTTAGCACAGTGGGCACTGTGGTTAGGACAGTGGGCACTGATGGCCATATGCAGTACAGAAAATGAAAATAATTAAGATTTTCTGAATATTCATGTATAATTTTGGACAAAAAAAAGGGAAGCAATATACCAAATAATTAAATACAAGCTCTCAAATCAGAGTTGCTCCAATTATGTTTAAACAGCACAAAAGCAGAGATAAACCTGGAGATCTCTTTGCTGTAACACACTTATTTCTGAAGGTTCACACCTAGATAATTCAAGAGCCGAAACCAGACATCGTGTCCAGGGCTACAACTTCTGGAGAAGATGCTCCTTTCTACACAAAAATGAATATGGGAAATATGGTTAGAGATAAATATAAAAAAGCTAAAATCAAGTGCAACCAGTAAAAATTCCAGTAGAATTTTTTATTCAAGTCAGTTTTCTAGAGTTCCTTGTGATTAACACTGCCTGTGTGCAAAGGAGAAGCATTTTTTTAAAAACCCTCTCAGAAAATATTTTTAATATTTCTTTTGAAAAGGAGGACCATGCCAATACTGTGAGATTTCCCACCAGATCAGAGCCAGTAAACAAAACAACCACAGCACATGTCTTTCTAGCCAGGTCCAGCGTAAATTGTACAGGGCAAGAGCTAAATTGTGGTGGTGAATTGAAGGTGAACTGGGTCTGACTGGGATGGACTGACTTTTCTTCCCAGCAGCCCTTATGGCGATGTCTTTTAGGTTTGTGAGCACAGCTGAGACAGATGGCCCAAACTGATCAAAAGGATATTCTGTGCCATATAACATCACACTCAGGAATAAAACTAGGGGCAGAGGGAAGTTTTTCCAGAGTAGGCATTGCTTGAGGACTGCATCTGTCTGCTTGCTGAACATGGCAAGCATTTGTCCTTGTATTACCTCTTGTGGGTTTTTTGAGTTTCATTCTCTTTTTCAGCTGTCTTTTTCTCAGCCTGCAAGTTTTTCTTTCTTCAGCACTTCTGATTCTCTCCCTGATCCTGCTGTGTGGAAGTGAGTGGGTTGACCAGATGGGGCCTTAGCTACTAGCTGGGGTCAGCCCTTCACAGGACACAAGGCTTGGATGGAAAAGGAGACAAATCTGTAGGGAACCAGTTATCTTAAGTTTTGTTACTCCCACACTTTTCTGCCAGTGTTACAACTCAAAATAAGTTCCATATTTTGAAAAAAAAAAAAGTTATTTTCTTTTTATACAAAGATTCTACAAGGCTAAGTGGACTAAGGCAGGTTTAGATTAAATATTAGGAAATATTTCTTCACTGAAAGGGATATCAGGCTCTGGAACAGGCTGCCTAGGGAAATGTCTGGGTCACCATCCCTGGAGGAATTTAAAAGATGTGTAGGTGTGATGCTTAGGGACATGATTTAGGGACATGATTTAATACTTAACACTATTAAATTAATGGTTGGACTCAATGATCCTGGAGGGCTTTTCTAATCTAAATGATTCTACAATTCTACAGTACTATGATTCTATATCTAAGTGTATGTATATGTATATTTACTTGTGCATATATACACACAAAAAATTGTTTTACTACCATGTAACCCACAAATTTTGTTATATGTATTATACACATATCCATCAAGATAAAAATCCAAATCAAAACTATGTCCTCTGGATCCTGAATGCTCTGTAATTCCATATCAGGAAAACAGTCTTCTCTCAAACAGCTGAATAAGCTGACATGAGCTTAAGACCCTTAACAAATTTCATCAGCTACAGCTCAGAATAGCCCAACACGTAATTAAATTTACTATCTACTAAAAAGCAGAGCAGGGCCTGTCTCTCAGTCACTCCAACTATGGGCTGAGTTTCTTCAGTGACATTTAGACTCGTACAGCTCAAGTACAGGCAGAATGAAATAGTGGTGGTTTTGAGACTGTGGTCTCTGCAAAAGATGCCTGCAATCACACAGGGCAGAGCACACCACTGAAAAAAGTGCATTCAGGAAAGGAGAGAGCACTGGTGCACCACATGGGCATTCAGATATCACACAGCAGCCTGGGCCAGATGCACTGCCTGAACTCCTCTGCATCAGGAGAGCTCTGTTGCCTTTGTCTAAGCGGGCATGGCCTTTCCAGGAACAGCCTTATTTCAAAACTAACCCCATGCCATGGGCAGCCACCTGCCTGCCATGAAGTGTCTGATAAAAGCAGTCATGATGGCACAGGAAGACAGAGCAGCCTTTTAAGCAGACAGCGAGTAGCTCTCCCT